ATTTAAACTGTTTTTTTTTTTCAGAGTGAACACAACACAATGCCTTTCAATGAGTCGTCTCAATTTAATGCAAAGGGCTTTTGATCAATCTCCTCCAACATGAATACCTGTGCTTTGTGTAAACACTTTTATTGATTGTGTTTGCTGTGCACACAAAATCCGAAATGCACTTCATTTCATTCATTTTCAAATAAATTGTCCTTTAGAGATTGTTTATACTGGTTTTATATCAATATTTATTATTTTATTTTCGGGACAAACTTGAGCATTCTTGTTTGCATTCAACTTGAATGTATAAGTGTGTACTTCGATAAAATTACTGGAAATGATGACATTTGATGCCATTTCATTTACATTTTATGGTAGGTAATACTTACTAGGTATTCCAGTTACTAGGTATTCCAGGCACGGTTTTCTAATAAAAACACACTTTTATCGATTTTTATAGAGCATGATTCATTTTAGTCAAATACAAGACGTTTTTTAAAGCACTATTCACTAGTAGCCATTCATTTTTTTTTTAAAGTGTATTTTTATCTTTGTCCGTTTTCTCTCATTGGAATACCTTTCTTCTATTCTTGAATTTTTCTGATCAGTCTTTGGTTTATGCTTTGAATTTTGACACCGTCTCATCGATTTTAAGTTGTTTGTTTATGGAATCCATTTTAAATGGGGCATTTATGACTAAATTCCATAAGCCACTGAATATTCCTAATGGGTTTTATGATAAAAACAAGAAAAAAAAATGGTTTCTCAACATAAACAAGAAGAACGAAAAAAAAATGTTGAAAAAAGCAATTAATTGTGGTTGCATTTAATGAATAAAACAGATAAAGAAAGAATTCCAGGTCAATGATATCATGAATATGCTAAAGCGAAGCTCAGTCAGGATAATAATCTGATACATATTTCTAAAAGTATTTTTTTTTCCTCCTTGAAGTAGAAAGTACAAATAAAAAGAAACTGAAAATAATTTCTCGTTATTTTCTCTGGTGAGAACTGTTGCATAGCTGTGGAGAAAGTCAATAGGATTCTTATTGATAAATGAAATGAAAACACATTGAAATACACTACAAAGCCTCTATATTTGTTACTGTTATTAATCGATTGCCCGTTTTATAAACATTCTCATGTGATCTGTGAGTAGCTCGTCATCATTTATTTTCTTTACATTTCCGAAATTTTAACGTGAACCAAAGTACGTTTCGGCGTTGATACCTTGAATGTAGGAGCAGGCACAAAAGCAAACGTATGGCTGTAGTTTGGCTTTGTTGTCGTAATTACACTCCATCGGTTGGCGACACATGCAGTTCCTTCGATACTCCAGTACTTTGACGACCGTTGATTTATTGGAATCGCCTTTTTTCACTTTCTTTTCATCCATTTCAGTTCGCTGTGACTCACTTTGTTTGCCAAATAATACAGATTTATAAATAAACTTGACAACATTTTACTAGTTTGCTACATTCTGTTTTTTTTTCGTTACAAATCTCTCGAAGATTAAACTGTTTCTTTTTTCGGTTGAAAATGAGGTCAATTTTTGAGGTTTTTTACTTTTTTCTCATGCTACTTTGATTGTTATACGTGTTCTTGTGAAGTTCATCGAACAACATATTTACCAAATAATTCATTTTGCAAACGGCTTATTTTGTTCAAAGCAGAAAGTGGAACAAGTTGAACAGCTGAATCGGATGTATCAATCAAGATAAAATGTGTTGACAAAAAGACGAAATGAAAAAAACTTAATCGAAAAATTCTTTACAATCAATGATCCGGTTAATCTTGCAAATCCATATGTTTTCATCTGTTGAGGATTATTTGCAGAAGCAAAAAAAAAAATAAATCAGCATTTTTGCAGTTGAAATGTAAGTATTAGCAAGAAGATTATCATAAATGCAATGAAAATCTGAAATATACAGAGAAAGAGACACAGAAAGAAAGAGAGACAGCGACGACAGTAGTCAAGCCGTTCGACATGGAACAGGTATAGAAAAAAAGTCATAAGCTAATAATAAATGTCAAGCATTTTCGAGACGACAACCATTGAATCGATTCCAAAGGCAGAGATAAGGAATGGGAAAAAAGGAGAAAACGGTAAAGGAATGAAAGTGCATACACTGGTTTCAATAGGTGCCTACACGTATTTGGTTTGACTATATGAGAGAAATTGACAAAAAAAAAAGTAATTTTTCATCCCTTGTGCACATTTTTTTGGTCATGATTCGGAATGCACACACCAAAAACACAACCAGCATAATAATAATGCATTTCTCGTCATCCATCGAATGTCCATGTTGTTGTTGCTGCGTTTTTTTTTCTTTTCTTTTACAGGAATCAATTTCAGCGCTCGCATCATTTGTTTTACACTATTTTTTCTCTTCCTACTTTGCTACGGCCCTTGTGTGACATTCTGATAAATGATCTCTGTTCAAATGTTTACATCGACAACAAACAAAATACCAAATTGTAACGCTGAAACTGGATAGTATGGGTTTGAATAAGCAAACATGGTACAAACGTGAGATAAACAACATAGTATTTCAGGTCTGGCGATGGCGTTCGCGTTGGCCAATGGATATGCTTTGTGTCAGTGGCGCACAATCATGTTACTGTCCGAATCGATTTCATATTTGATGCCTGATAGTCGCTTGACCTGTTGTAATAAATGCGTTCGACAAGCGTGCTCCGCTCGTTCGAATATACAGGAGACATCGATACTGCATTCCGTTGGAAAAGATGATGTGTCATGGAACACAATTTATTCCGTCGACCATGATTTGTACGTTCTACTGTCGGTAAACCAAATCGCTCGAACATATCACATCACATTGGTTCAGCCAAAAAAAAAAAAGAAACGAGTTGATTGATTCCCTTATGTCTGTTCTCGTTTTGATGATTTTTAATTTTCTTCCTTTAAGAAATTGAAAACAGAAATGCTGTCTCGCTTTTTTTACGTGCACATATTTCGGCATTTCGAAATATTAATCGAAACAACGATGTGAAAAACGGTGAGAAAATGCCAGTTGGCTTGACTGTGTGTGATGCCACCATCGTTTTAGTTATTGTCAAACGCCATGAAAATCCTTTCATCACATTCCGATCTCTCGATGCCACACAAATCAATTGATTATTAATGAACCATTGGAGCCATTTTTTTATTAACATCATTTATTACCTAATTTAAAACCATCGATCGCACACAAACCAAATCGAATTTTGACATTTTTCCTACTCGTCAACCCGTAATGAATGAGACAATGAATCGAAAGAAATGCATTTTTCATGCTGAAGTAACAGTTTTTTTGATACAGATTGAACCTCCGATTTTGCCGGATTTTTCGACAACCAATTGGTTTTGAGCCCGGCACTTCTGTTACAACACTCAGTGATGAACGTGATGACATCTTTTTAAGCAAATTATTCAAACGACTTTCATTATTCGGTGAAAAATACTTTGATTGCTTTGTTTTTTTTTTCATTGCACTTTTCCTGTCGGCCGCAGCTTTTGTATCATTTTGACCTCCATCGTCTGATGATTTTGCGTCGTTCTCAAACTCATTCAAAAAAGTACAATTTTTTCCGCCTCAACAACCGTGTGCAACGAACTCAAAGCAAGAGGGTAGACGCAGTTCTTCAACATACAAGTTTTAACGAATTTGTCTCATTTTGCACCGAGTAGTACCGAGTACATCTATGCATTTTAAATGTTCTTCGAAAGTATACACATTAGACTGAACCAAATGGCACCGAGTAGCACTGAGTAGATTCTAGTATCGGCGAGTGTTTGTCGAGTATGAATTCGTGTCTAACCACAGATCAGCAAACAATCGAATGATCAATTTTTTACGAAGAAATATATTTAAATTTAAATGTACTGTGAGAATAAGTCTTACTGTTGCACACACCCATTCAACTATTTGGAGTGTGAATTGGTTTTCGGATTTTTTTTTTCACCAATAAACTTTTTGCGCAAAAAAGAAACCCTATACAAAAAAAAAACACAAAATAAAACAATAAAACCAGGTTTTTTTGACGATTAACTTTTTTTTATTACATTTTATTCAATCATTCATAAATTCATTATCAATTCGTTGACAAATTTGTTGAATTTTATGTCAATTTTATTGGCGATTTGTAAATTAAAGGAGGTTTTGTTAGGATTTAACCTTATTTATTTCATTTTTACCGTAAACCTATATCAGAATATTGAAAATTTACGTGCGATATGGTGCACGCACTCAATAGTTCCACCTATTTTAATAAGGAATCTATATAGGGGCGCTGCCACATCGTCATTTACATCGACTCAAGTATCGTCAAATATAATAACATTGTTTTTATTGGCGTACAGTACGCTTTCTCTGTGGAAAGTGTTATTAAGTACGGCTATGGTTTCGTATGAGATTCGCTTAAGATTTTTTTTGGGAATGCGTAGATTTGCACCAATGCCACAGCGTTTTTACTTTATTCAGTGATGAAAAGTAAATACGATTCCGTATATTCTTGCATTGACTAACACTGTAGCTATTGCAATTGTTCATGAACAAACCAACGCAACCATGGTACGTAAGCCTGAAGTTTTCATAGTAAACAACATGTTTTTGGAGGCAGATAGGTCTTGATCG